CTTTAACTCAAAAAATTCCCCCACAAAAAAATCCCCCAAGATGGCGGGGTGGGGAATTCTGGGAGTTGAAGTCCACACATCATAAAGTTGCCAAGTTTGAAAAACACTGTGGTCGTTGGTAGAGATATAAGCCTTCTGAAGAGGAAAATTCTCTGTAACTTTACAAGGGCAGACAAGATAATCTAGGGATGGCGATAGTCATAGAATTTGAGTGGTTAAAATGACCAAGTAGCATAGTGAACTAATCAGTCTGAAATTCTACTTGGGTTTCCACTTAAATTTTTAAAAAGGTAAGAAACTACTGACAGAACTACATTGATATCTTTGTTTTTAGGGCAGATCTACCTCTCTAAGAATTATGACTGTTATGGGGTACAGTAACATTTCAAATTATTATTATTATTATTTCAAGTGCCACTTATTTTTTTTCTAGAAATTTTGTTTAGATGGAACTAGTAGAACTCCATTTTGATTTTCTCTGCCACCTCCAGACTGAATCAAAACATTTCAAGTACAAAATAGTACACAAACGATTGTGACATGTTTAAAAAAAAAATCAATGCCTTTTTGTGTGTGTGCCCTCAAGTCAGTTTTTGACTCCTAGCGGCTGCCTGGGCTAGTCGCTGCAGTTCTTTTGGCAAGATTTCAGAAGTGGTTTGCCATTGCCTCCTTCCTCAGGCTGAGAGACTGACCCAAGATCACCCAGCTAGAGCTCACGGTCTCCCAGTTTCTAGCCTGATGCCTTAACCATTACACCAAAGTGGTTTTAGCAAATATTTATATGAAAATTACATTCTAATAAAATTATTGTGAAGAAATTCCTGCTTAATCTCTGATTAAAATTAAGGTGATGAGTTGAGATGTACATTAGCCATGCATGGTATGCTTGCCTACTCAGAAGTAAACTCACTGAGTTCAGTAGAACATATTCCCAGAATAAGATTGCATTCATAGAATGCACCCACAGAATGCAGTGGAATTTACTTCTGAGTTATTGTCTTTATAACTGTGGTGTTAGTTTCAGTGAAATAACATGGGAAAGAGAGGAGCAGAAAACAGAAACAGGAGCTAAAATTTAAAGCCCTAAGTGCTATTCCTAAATCTACCTCATCCTAACTATCATGAAAAATAACATGCCTCTTTATTAACTAAAGAGTTTATTCTTTTCACTTCAAGGTGTGGGATATTCCTTAGCTGCTGGTCTCCCTGGTCCACCAGGCCCCCAAGGCCCCCCAGGACCACCTGGTTTTTCAGGAACTGGCCTTATCTCCCTTGAAGATGGGGTTTGGACTGACCAGTTCAGGAGTGAATTGATCCAATACCTTACAAGTAAGTATATACTCATTCTGCAGTTTTGTGTGTTAACTGCCTATTGTTCCACTTGAAATTTCAAGATTGGACCTCATCCTGGCTCATTGCTTAGGACTATCTCATTTATTTTGGGTTTAAAATCAGATTCCTGTATGGCAATCGTATTCATCCTAAGTTTAGTTATTAAAACTTCATCTTTGTGGCCTGCAAGACAGCATTAAAGGAATAAACAAATGAACATTAAACGACAAATTAACACACTGAACAGCAGGGGAACACAAGGTTCAAAAATAAATTGCAGATGCCATGGTGTTTAATTATTTTTCAAGTAATGTTGAGAAGCCTGGGTTACTCTGTGGTTTAATCGGCTTTGTTTAAAATCATAGATTTAATTTTTATTCATTTCCTTATTTATCTATTATCTTTTAAGATAGGAAAGTACAGTGTTAACATGAATACAATAATGAATT